TGAGAATAAATGATGGACAACGGATCTATGGGTACACGAGGAAAATTGGGAGGTGTTTAGCCTTAATTGCTGAAGCCTGGGCAATTTTGGTTGGGTTGGAATTAGCTTGGAAGCTGGGGTTCAGAAGGATTGAGCTTGAAAGTGACTCTTCAACTCTATTTAATTCTCTTTCATTCCATGAATCACAAGGCCCGTTCGAGAACCAGGTTATAAAGTGCATTAAAAGATGGTTACATGAAGATTGGGAGATGCACATCTATCATGTGTACCACAAAGACAATAGATGTACGTGCTGGTTTTTTAGCTAACCTCAGTTTCAGTTTCAGTCCTAGACTTTACGTCCTCGAGTATGCTCCTTTTGCTATGGATAGACTCCGTAGGAATGATGCTCGAGGGATGCTGTCATCCTACAATCTTTGTTTAAATATAGCTTTTATGCTTTCATTGTTCTGTTTGGGCTTCGACCCGTCTTTCACTGTATAAAACAATCCTTCATATTATGAGAGATTGCTGCAATACTCATAGGATCTGGATCCAATAGGTTCACAGTTTGAAACGAAGACATTTTTTCTCTATGAACCTTGGTGAGTATATTAGAAGTAACTTACAACAAAGCATGGGATGTGAGAACATTTAGTTCTAGAAGATTAACTTCATCACCACTTGTTGGCACCTCTGGAAATGGCGAAATAGTCATTTATGCGAAGAAGGCTTCCAAGATCATCCAAGACCCATGTTAGTCATCAACAATTATAAGAAATCTATGCTAAAGGCATCATGCAAGTTGAGAAGTAATGGAAGATATGTTAGAGTAGCTGCCCTAGAGCCAATCAATTATTGTAAAATTGACTCTTTGTAATAATGTTTATTTATCAATAAAAGGAATATTCTTCTATATCATGTAAATCATAATTGTGTGTACTAATATACGTCCTTAGGATGGTAGAACCGTGATGAAGGTATAAAGTGTTTCAAGTCTTGATAGTGAGAACTCTATGATCACATATGGTCGCCATTCTAGAAATTTTCATAGCCCTAGTACTATTCTAACCAAGGACACAGATAATACGGTAAGGCTATCATAGTGTTGAACGACCTTGTCGAAAGACAGTGACTGATCTCACTTATCAAAGTTGTTTGCCAACAAATTGGTGTAATGCATAGCTGCTTGTTGGAGGCAAATTCACTAGATAGACCCACCAGAGGATTCCATATGGATGGTCACCCTAGTGTCAATGGAATAAATCCTCTAACAAATGGTGGTGCATGTGATCCTTAGACTTGAGATCACCGGAGTGCCTTGTGCACCGATTGGTGTAGTTTGACATTAGCCCAACATAGTTCTATTCAGAGCTATCAATGCGTTAGTGATTGGCTACATCGAGGAGTGTATCAAGGCTATGGTAGATCGACAAAGGATTCATCACTCCTAGGTACAGGAGAAATTATCTCACTAAGTAATTTGGTAAATGGCAACAACAGTGAATCTGTGGCCACGGTGGGATTGAGTTGTAGCTTAATCCAATCTTTTTCGATCGTTGGTCCAATAACCGAATATCAAGAGATCAAGGATATCTGAAGTTGGCACTACTTCTATACCTCGGCCTTGATGAGATAATGTATGATGAAAGAATCGGATTGCACGGTAACCATATCTTTGATAGGCAAGTTGTTTCGCTGAATTCGAATCTATTCTGTGGCCATGATGTCTTGCTAGAGGTCAGTCTTTGTCTGTGTTTAGTGAGATGATTGATTAGTGTCAATCACGAGACCACTCACTGCCGATATGATGAAGAGCCTTCGGGTCATACACAAAGAATACAGATTAAGTATGAATTGGTGAAAAAGGGTATTTTTGTCATTTATGATGAAAGGGTATTTTTGTCATTTATGATGGAAATAATATTTTTCGTCTTTTGAGATGAAAGGACATTTTGGTAATCTCACAGTGTAATTAAATTTGCTAAGGCCATTGCCTATATTTAATTTCATATTGAAATTAAAATTAGTGAGATTATGTATTTTAATATATTCATATATTTTAATATATATATGAAATATGAAATTCATATTTGAACTTGAATAAGATGACATGTGGATTATCACCTTGTTTGGTAAGGGGAGTTTACTATTCTAGTCGTGGAATAAATTTATTCCTAGCTAGATTAGGGTTTTAATTTTTGTTGCATACAAAAGGCAACTTAAAATTAAAATAAAAGAAGAGAACACATTAATTAAAAATCCTAGTCACTCACCTCATTCTCTCTAAGTGGATAAGAGAACTTTTCAAGAAAAAATTATGCCATCTTTGATCCTTGCGTGTACCGCTAGCACTTAGAACCGTAAGGTGATCAACGTCCTATCTTTGTGTGGATATCGGAAGTTCACTCTTGGCTTAAAGTGGTAGTGACCCGTATCGTAAAGAAGGAGCCTCCAAACGAAGGTATAATTCTTAAACGTTACGTTTCATAATCGTTTACTATTTTAACGTAAAATAGTCATAAAGTTCTTGGGTCTATTGGTTGTCTTTGGGGTTTTTTTTATTTGTTATTCTGCTGCGTAATCTCCACCAGCAACCTACAAGATATCATCACAACCTATGTTGAATGGCGAAGACCACCTCTAGGGTGGGTGAAGTTAAACACGGATGGGGCCTCAATTTCTTTTGAAGAACGAGCTGGTGGAGGGGGATTGTTGAGAACAAATAATGGACAATGGATCTATTGGTACACGAGGAATATTGGGAGGTGTTCAGCCTTAATTGCTGAAGCCTAGGCAATTTTAGTTGGGTTGGAATTAGCTTGGAAGCTGGGGTTCAGAAGGATTGAGCTTGAAAGTGTCTCTTCAACTCTATTTAATTCTCTTTCATTCCATGAATCACAAGGCTCGTTGGGGAACCAGGTTATAAAGTGCATTAAAAGATGGCTACATGAAGATTGGGAGATGCACATCCATCATGTGTACTGCGAAGAAAATAGATGTAAGTGCTGGTTTTTTAGCTAACCTCAGTTTCAGTTTCAATCCTAGACTTTACGTCCTCGAGTATGCTCCTTTTGCTATGGATAGACTCCTTAGGAATGATGCCCCAGGGATGTTGTCATCCTACAATCTTTGTTTAAATATAGCTTTTGTGCTTTAATTGTTCTGTTTTGGGCTTTGGCCCGTCTTTCACCCAAAAAAAAAAAAAAAAAAAAAAAAAAAAAAAAAAAAAAAAAGAGAACCCGCTTTCTAGTAAAATTTATAATGGCGAATTTATCCTCATATTAAATTATTAAAATTAACTTTAATTTTCCATTCTTTACAAATACTTTTGACATCTCAGTATTACCTCAAAAACCCTAATATTTTTTTATGCTATTCAAATAATTCTTAGAGAAAAAGATAGTTTAATGGAGAAAAAAAAAAATTTGTAATATGATATATTAGATAACAAGCAATACAAAATTGTAAGTTTTTAATTGCTTCCCATATAAATTTATTGTTATTTTTCTCCTTAAAGTATTGGTAGCTATATTAATCTATAAATCTTTTGTATTGCTTAACTGTATTATGTTCTTGGGTTTAGTTATAAGGATTTTTGGTAGCTTTAATTTTTTATGAACTTCCAATTTAATAATCTAAAATTTTATTTTAAGAATAACGATGGTATGGGGTATATAGCATAAGTGAAGAGAGTGAAATGTTAATTCTTTCAAAAATATTATATATATAAGAAAAAATGTTGCTTTTAAAATTTTAACATGCGGTGTCATAAGAAATGGGGTTTGTTTGGCCCATTCGCGAGGTACCAATAGCTCCATTCTTAAAAGTAACCCAAAAACTCTTTTCATATTGCAATTAAACTTACAAATCTGATTCTAAAAGCCTTTCAAATTAATTTTAGCTTTCAATTTGTGAAGTTTCAATTCTTTAATACCGTTGCCACACTTTGAACTTATATTTCAGTAGATTCGACTTTGTGGGAGCTTTGAACTTTTATATTCACTCTCATAGAGAGTTTCTAAATTGTAAGACTTCACATTTATCTGAGTTGTTAGCAGTGTTTTGCTTTGCTTACGATATTACGATATTAGAGAGAGAAAGTGAATTCTCATGTGTACAAGGGTCTAGTTGCACCTAAAAGAAGCAACTTGTATTGTTTTCACTTAATTGGGAGATCAACCAAGGGCTATAGTGAAATACTCCAAGGAGATGAAGCTTGAAGGAGTAAAGGTAGCTTTTCTTACTTATATTTTGAGCAAGTTTATTTCATATTCGCTTATATATACTTTGGATTAATTGTTCATTTCATTATTTTGAATTACAAGGTTTAAGTCACTAAGAAAGTTGTACACTCGAGCTCTTAGACTAAAAAGTAAGAAGTGACAAGAAACTTTGAAAAGTCTAATTCACCCCTCTTAGTCATTCTAATTCAAATAAAAGCATTCTAAATAATAAAATGATTTTCTTGGAGACTTCATTATAGAAGATGATCTCATTGCCTTTTAGATGATAACTTTGTTATCTTGGAGACTTTATCTTAATGTCCTTACATTTGATTTTAGTTCTTATAATATTTGTTTGCCATTTAAAACTATGACTCATAAATTGACGTCCGTTTCATTAAAAGACAGTTGATTGTGAAATAATTTTTTTTAACCAACCTACTTATCTCATTTTTATCCCATCTCTAAGTTCTCCCATGGCCATTTCACTTCTTCTATAATTTCTTTCTTTCTTTCTCTCTCTTCCTTAACCATACTCTCTCTTGATTCCCATCAAAACAGTAAAGTGCTATTTTTTAAAATACTATAATAATAATAATAAAAATCATTTTAAAATTAATTTTTATGTAAATCCTTAAAATTAACTCAGAATTTACCATTGGTAATAAAAAAAAAATGTTCGTGACACATGTAACTTAATGATTGGGTGTTGATAGCTATAAGTCATAGTAGTTATATTTTGTGCTTTACTAGAGTTGATACGAGGGATTGAAAATGGAAATGTAAATTGACAAGGACAAGTCTTGAACAAAAGTGCGAAGCCTGCATGTATATACCATCTAGCTAGATTCTAACAAAATTTTCAAAGCAGAAACAAAGACAAGACAAAAACAAAACAAAATTAATATTAACATGAAGGCAGAAAAATTCTAAATTTGTTGGATGTTCCCAGCTCTTTGAAGCCTAATTTGTCTATTGAACCTTTGAATAAACTCCTCAACTCTTCTGTTTAATTCTTCGTTTGACATGGTAGAAAACTCATTTTCTTCATCAAGGGTTGGTGGTTCTTCTTCCCTGTCGCTTTCTGACCTTGACTTACCTACACTATTCTTACCCTCTTCAATCACAACCCTTTTAACTTTATCAGACTTATTACGCTGATATGTTTTTGTATCTTTTGTCACCTTCTTCTCATGATTCCCACCTTCATTATCACCTAATTTCATGCCACTGCTGAGCTTACTCTCAGGTTGATCATTTTCCATCTTCTTGTCAATAAACTCTTCTTTGGGAATAATACTTTTCTTAACGATTTCGGGGTACTGTGAAATAAATGAGGAAACGCTTCTTGCTTGGCTTTGTAACACATACTCTTCATAAACATCATATTTGCCTCGGCCAGAAGAAGAGAACACACCATAATCAGCGGCAATGATGAGAATGAGAGTGTTGGAAATGAAAAACCAAAATTTTGAATTGTTTAACGATGGAGAGAGGTTGAAGATGTAGAACATAGAGATATAAATAGAGATGGAAAAAATAAGAGCAAAGAAAGAAATTCCTTTAGCTCTTTGAGAATACTCTTTTTTGGATTTGTAGGGTTTAAAAATGATAGGTTTTTCCTCTACATGGTATGGTTGTGGCATGGCCATGTCTAGGGAGGAGAAGAAGCCGTGAGAGATTGTGGGGCAACTGCACTTCGGTTTTTTAAATGTAATTCGGTGAAGTTCCATGAACAATCGTTTTATAGCTACTAATCAAGCTAGCCAAATAATTGAACCTCTGTATGTAATCACAAGTAGCTCTTGTATTTTTCTATTAATTACTACCACGTCCTTACCACCTTTAAATAAAAAATAACTTATAGTGCATTCGCCTTAAAAAACATATTTGATTTATTTCAATTATATGGCTTATGAGTAATTACCAATATCCGAAGTTCATTTAAGTCTTCTAACCGATGAGAAGTTCATTTCGATAATTTTCTCATTACTGAAATAAATATTTCAGGATCTTTTTATCAAATTAAAATATTTAATTAATTCAAACAAATTTAAATAAAAATATTGTATATTGAGCAGAAATCCCTAAAAATGTGTCAAAATTAACTCGACTTTTGACCATTCACTGTATAATTATACGTAAGACGACAGCAAAAGTACACGTTGCAATTCTGAGCGTAATTTTTTAATGTTCAATTATAGACCCATGGTTCAAATTATCTCATGTGTTTTGGTCCATTGATTGGAAACCTGAACAAACTTATCCACAGTGCCACCTAACCACCGATATCAAAAACAATACGGACGGTGTACTGTCGTTTACTTCATGATTAATTCCACGTGTCAGCTAATGTTAGGGTCCTACAATGATGAAAATTCAACAGCTAGGATTATCAATTGCTCAATGTCTGAGGAACACGTCAACATTTCTTTAGCTTGATTGATCAATGATTATATGATTAGTGTCTAGCCTCTGCAGGTATTCATGATCATGATTGATTTTGAGAACACAATAAAATAAAGCCTAAAATCAGGGTTAACTAAAGAAAGATATTTTGCATAAGCTTGCTGATACAAATCATATAATTGTAGTTGTGGACCCTTTGTTTAGCGGCTGATCTTTGAGGCTCTTACACTTGGACGTACCATATATAATGGTGAATCTTTCTTTATTCAGCCGCCATTTTGGCTTTTGGGTCCCAACCACTTGATGTTTGCATGCCATGTGTTTCATTGACCCTGGAAGAGTAGAAGGTGACGGACGGTAGAGATTGTATGATAAGGCAACAGGGGTTTCATTCTCAGAAATATACATACAATTCAAAATTGTTAGAACTTTTGTCTGGTTAATATAGTTGTCAATTAAATTCAGTTTTGATACTGTTATTAAAATTAGTTCTCATTTTTGTTAGATTTTGCATTATGATCCAATCATAATCTTCAAAACATTATGATATAATCTAAAATTAAGTTGTGCTTTTCATATTTTTATATTTAAAAATATCATCTCATATAGTATTTAATTAATTTTCCGTAAGAAACAGATAATTTTGTTTCAGTTTTTACGACAGTTTCTTTACGATTTTATTTGACATTATTATATTGGAATAATTAAACTAAATATTATTCCTAAAATCTCATTTAAATTCCGAAAAGAAAGGAGTATTTCCGAATTTTAACTAAACAGAACTTTCGTTAGTTAATAGTTATTATGAATACTTAGACAATTTTGTTAATTATTTAAGAAGTCTGTATTTTAATTACGAATCAAGTATTGCCTAAACACCATATCATAATCTTAATAATGATTGAAATTATAAAATAAGTCATAATTTATAAATTAATTGTATATATTCTGATGACTTGTTAATATAAAATTTTAAGCTTGCGGAGCAAGGACTCGTCGGCGTGAAAGAGTTGAGGGTATGATGGCAAATGCTAATTGGTGAGTAATATCTGTTTCTTGCGTGATCATATCAATCATAAGATTATTACTAACCCATTAATCAGGTTTAAGCAATAGATAACGAGAGGAACACTTCAAAGACAGTGAGACAAGCTTAAGTTTCGTGTGTTGGTTTATATTAATAAAAAATATTGATCACGGAAGCAAAGGCTTGATTTATGGCGCCCCTTTGCAATTGCTGACTTTAATTAATTAATTAAATTTTATCATTCTCAAAATCAGACAATGATTTTACCCACAGAATTTATGAATGATTTTGTCGTCTGGAATTTTCTTTGGGATATATATCGGAGAGAGCACGTTGTAGCTTTTCCTTACATTCACTTAATTATAAAATTAGAGATTGTGTTATTTGCCTTCGCTACAAACCATGTTATAGTTTGTCAACTATTGACGTCGTATTCGTCACTACTTGATTAGGAGACGAGCCATGTACTTATGATCCTAGTTAGTAAAAACGCGTATTATACGCGAATTATACAGACAGCCGTATAATTCGCATATAAAATACACGTATATGTATTTTATAAAATCTTCCATATAATTCGTATATAATAAGGCTTATTGTATAATTCGCGAATTATTCTCGAACTATTCACGAATTATTGAAAAAAAAACAAAAAAACAAAATCTCACCCCCAAAACAACGTCGTTTTAGTGGGTTTTTACTAAAAATTAAAACAGATCTCTCTTCTTCAGTTCTTCACTTCTTCTTCCTCAGTTTAGTTCTTCTTCAGCTTTTCTTCCTCAGTTATTCACAAATTTCCACAAGCAATCAACACTCACAATCATCACACAACAATCAACTCCAGCAAACAATCAATTTCCACAACCTTCGTCTCTTTTGTATAGATATAAGTTTATACTTTATACAAAAGAGACGAAGGTTTAAGAAGGAAGTGAAGAGAAGGTGGAGAAAAGAAAGAGAAAGAAAAGAAGAAAATTACATAAGAAAGAGAGAAGAAAGTTTTGAAAAGAATGAGAAAATGAAAGAGAAGAGAAAGGAAGGAGAAAATTTAATAAAATATATAGTTTTAACTTTTACATGGTACATTTGTAATTTTTGTAAACTGACTGCAAAGTGTATTTGTAATTTTTGTAAACAATTGGTTTTATTATGACTGTGTTTGATTTAACACTATAGTTGAATCTTGGCTAAATATTGTGTTTGAGTCTGGAGACTATAATTTGAATATAAGTTATATTTATATATTGTGTATTTGTGTTATTGATTAATTGAATACTTTACATTTGAAATGTTATATTGATTTTAACTAGGTAGTCCATAAAAGTGTTAAAACTAAGATTGATATTGCCATATTTTTCAAAACGTATTATTGACAATGCACCATATTAAACCCATATATACCTGTACTGTATTTTTCCCGTATCCGAATTTTATGGCCGAATTTTTATAAACGTATTTTTCACCATTTACCGCATTATACCCGTAAAATTCCCGTACCCTTTTTTTGTCATACCCGTATTTACTAACTAGGCTTATGATATATAAGAGAAACGTAATTATGATATATAAGAGAAACGTAAATATGGAAACAATATCTCAATTGCTTAATGTGTCCTTGTTGGAAAAATAAATATATAATCATAGAGATTACTAGGGGTGAGCACAGGTAGCGGGTAGAACCAGAACCTGCGGATAGAACTGAAACCAGAACTAGAACCGATACTGTGTGGGTAGGTTTCGGTTTCATTTTTTTGGAACCAATACTGTGCGGTTCCGGTTTCGTTCGTACATGTGGAGGAACCGGAACCTGGAAAAAAGAACTTGTATCGGGTACCCTATTTTGGAACCTGTTTTGCAACCTGGGCTGAAATAAAATATCTGTGAAGAATGAGGGGTCTATGTAATTTTACATATAAAAAAAATTAAAATGGGAAAAGTTAAATTTTTACAATAACCCAATTAAATAAATATACAATTATACTTATTACATAAAACTATACCATCACTACAAGAAAACTGGCATTCTGCGTCTAGCAAAATTAGACGCAGAAAGTCACATTTAGACGCTAAGCCATTTTTAGCGTCTAAATTCGGTTGTCGCCCCCTTAGTTGCAGTAGGCTGGTCGCAGATTCATAGCGCATCTATATTGTGGTTTAGACGCAAAAAGTTTTTTTTTTTGCGACTATCAAAATAGTCGGTAAATACTGGTCAAAATAGTCCCCCAACTTAGACGTTAAAAGCTGAAGGGTAATTTNAATTTATAACATTACATTAGTAATTTAGTACATTACTTAATTAAATAATTAGAAATTTAATTAATTATAACATTACATTATAGATTTATAATATAATTACTTAATTAATTATAACATTACATTATAAAAAAATAATTACTTAATTAAATGATTAAAAATTTAATTAATTATAATATTACATTAAAGATTTATAATATGATTACTTAATTCATTATAACATTACATTATAGTATGATCACATAATTAATTATAACATCACATAGTTAAATGATTACTTAATTAACTATGACATATATTATAAACATGAGTAATTTACTACATTAGCACAATACTTAATTAAATGATTAGAAATTTAATTAATTATAACATTACATTATAAATTTATAGTATAATTACTTAATTAATTATAACATTACGTTATAAACAAATGATTACTTAATTAAATGACTAAAAATTTAATTGATTATAATATTATATAAAAGATTTATAGTATGATTACTTAATTCATTATAACATTACATTATAGTATGATCACATAATTAATTATAACATTATATAATGAAATGATTACTTAATTAATTATGACATTATATTATAAACATTAGTAATTTACAGAGGTGGTCATGGACTAGTCTCAAGCAGGCCCAAGCCTGGGCCCGTTTGGGACTAGTCCTTTTGGGACCAATCGCTCATGGGCCTGGGACCGGTCCCAAGCCCATGAGCAATTTAAGGACCCGGACCGATCCTATGGGCCTACAAAATTTATTTTTCCCCCCTGATTTTTTTTTTATATTTTAGGGGCGAAATGAAATTCTGTAGGGGGTTTTTAGTCATTTTTAGGGTAGATTAGTAAGTTTTTAAAAGTTTAATTAATTTTAAAAAATAATAAATTAATAAATTAATTAATAGTTAATTTTAACATAAATGTAATATTCACATTTCACACATTCACGCTTCACAAATAAACAATTAAATAATTTTTTTTATTAAATTATTCATCTTCATCGTCAA